TTGAATTTGTTGAGGGTTCATTGTATGTCTTAGAGATGACGTTGTTAATTATTATGACTTTTTTGCTATCATCCAATAATATATTAATAATCTCTTATATTTTTATGTTCATGTTTCTCAGTAGCCGAGTCAAAACGGTATGTAACACTCTTCTACTAGAAAAGTATTTTTGTTAACAGTAGCTTCGATTGTAAGTGTTCTCTCACAAATTGCCAATTATAACAAGAATTCTTATAATTGCTTTAAGGCATAATTGCTAGATGTCTTGCACACAATTATTCAAAGCCACAGCTATGCACTATGCATATATTCCTTGATCATAATATAAAGTGATTTCCTTTCCTTCAATAATTCCCTAAAGCTAGAGTGCGAATGTCAAGAACTTAAAATTTTCTAAGTTGTTAGTGAAAAACAACTTATTCCAGTGATTTAGTAAATAACCACCTATTTGTTGTCCCATTTCATTGTAGATTATCTCAATTTCCCCACTTTAATTTTTTTTCTTGTACTGTGTGGTAATCAGCAACATGCAGACTCTAGCACTAATACTTCAAGTATAGACATTCATATGATGAAGTCCTCAATTTTGATCCCTCTCCTTTGTATAAATCCTTTAGCAATAAGTCAAGCCTCACAAACTTGTAAGGTGCTATAAGAATGGTATTTAATTTTGAAGACCCATTGTCTGCGCACCATGTCCATGACGCATCCTGGACATGGCCTTAACACCGTGTCCCAGAAACTGCCTACAAATGCCTGGAAATCGGGCTGCATCCATGCCGTAGCCCCGACGCATCCCGAACATTGCCTATATATTGTATCTAAGATATTATGTAGAAATACGTGAAAATCATGATGTGTCCCTGCAGCATTTTGGACATGGCCTGTACACCGTGTCCCAGAAATTGCCCAGAAATGCCTGAAAACCAAGTTGCATCCCCGCCACGTCCTAGACGTGTACCGGGCATTTCCTACACACCGTGTTCCAGAAACTGCCTAGAAATACTTGAAAGTTAGGATACATCCCTGTCGTATTCTGGACAAGGCCTGAACACGATGTCCCATAAACTGCCTAAAATTGCTTAAAAATCAAGCTTCGTCCCTGCCGGGGCCATGATGCGTCCCGGACATGGATTGCACATCGAGTCCCAAAATTTGCTAAAAAAATGCATGAAAATCAGGCTGCGTCTTTGTCGCGGCCAAGACGCGTCCCGGACATGGCCGACACACCGTGCCCACAAACTGCCTACAAATGCCTGAAAATCAGGCTACGTCCCTATTGCGACTAGGAGGCGTCCCGGACGTGGCCTGCACACCATGGCCAAAAACTTGCCAAAAATGCTTGAAAATCAAGCTGCGTCCCTGCCATGGCCCGGACGCATCCCGGTCATGGCCTGCACATCGTGTCCCAGAAACTACCTAGAAATGCCTTAAAATCAGGCTGCGTCCCTGACGCGTCCTTGACATAGCCTGCACACTGTGTCCAAGAAACTGCCTAGAAATGCCTGGAAAGGAGGTTGTATCCCTGTTGCGGCCCTGACGTGTCCCGAACATTGCTTGCACACCTTGTTAAAATGGCTTCACTCAAAATTATTTTTTTATTTTCAACCGTCGTGTTTTTGTTGTGTGTTCGTTCTGAAGCAAGAGAGTTTGTAATAGATGGTGAAAATAATTTATGGGCAGTTCCATCTTTTGTTGACGAGTTCAACAAATGGGTTGAGAAAACTCGTTTTTAGATTGGGGATTCTTTAGTTCTGAAGTATGATTCCAAGACTGATTCAGTGCTGGAAGTGACCGAGGAAGACAACAAAATCTGCAGCAACGGCTATCCAATAAAATCACACCATGATGGAGAAACTACAATTTCATTAGAAAAATTAAGTCTATTTTTCTTCATCAGTGGAGTTGAAGAACATTGCCAGAAGGGTTGAAGAACATTGCCAAAAGGGTCAAAAGCTAGAGGTTATGGTTTTGTCCGATAAACATGGCTCCAGTGACTAATCTACAGCGCAGCCACCTTCTCATCATCATCACCGTCGCCACTACCATGCACCTGCGCTAGCCCCGACTAACAGTGGTATTGGTCTAAAAGCGGGGGTGGGGTTTATTTGTGGTACTGCGACAGTGGGAAGTTTGGTTTCGTTGTGCAGACTAATTTTATTATTCATGGGTTGTAACGTAAAGCTACATTTTATTTTTATTATTCTTTGTCATGTATATATTTCCTAAATTTAATTCAAAATTAATTGAAGAAAAACCCCTAACCACTAAACCCTATGACCCAGAATCTGCCTAGAAATGCCTAAAAATTAGAATGCGTTCCTGCCGTGGCAATGACGCGTCCTGGACTTGGCTTGCACACCAAGTCCCAGAAATTGCCT